CGACATGACAATGGCTTCTCTAATGGGATCGATAGGGGGATTGGTGACCTGGGCAAAAAGTTGACGGAAGTATTCGTACAGTAGACGAGGAGCATCGGCAAGACATGCGAGAGGTGCATCGTTACCCATGGAGCCAAGAGCCTCCTTTTCGTCAGAAGCCATTGGTGCAAGGACCAAAGAAACCTGCTCAAAGGTGTACCCAAAAGCTTTCAGAAGGGCATCCTCCTGAATGGTACTAGCATCAGGCTTTGGTTCCAAGTCAACGGTACCTTGAGTTATCAATTTTTCGTGAACTTTAGGTAAGCTGACAAGTTCCTTGTGAAGCCAAGATCGGAAATCATGACGTTTAGCCACAGTGTTCTTCAGTTCTGCATCATCGATGATGCGCCCCGCGACGGTGTCGACGAGAAGCATCTTTCCTGGTTGCAAACGGCCCTTGAGGACAACACGTTCTGGGTCCACTTGGATAGTACCGACTTCAGAAGCGCAAATGATTCTGTCATCATCCATGACATAATATCTACATGGTCGGAGACCGTTTCTGTCGAGATTTGCACCGCAGTATCTACCATCGGCGAATGTGAAAAGTGCAGGTCCATCCCAAGGTTCCATTTGACAAGCTGCCCACTCGTAGAAAGCCGCCTTCGCTGGGTCCATGGCGGCATTATCTTGCCATGCTTCTGGAACCATCAGCATAACAGCTTCAGGTAGAGAAAGAACTCCATTGATAGTGAGTAACTCAAGCACGTTATCGAATGCAGCTGAGTCAGAGCCTCCATCTTCGACGATCGGGTACAGCGATTCAAGTTCTTCACCAAAGACGTCGGATTGCATTACACCTTCTCGGGCACGCATCCAGTTCTTGTTTCCGCGAAGGGTGTTAATTTCACCTGTGTCTACAGTTAGTATCAAGAGTAATTCGAGCAATTTACTTGTGCCATACCATTGTGAGCTGCCCATCGTAATGGTTGAGCACGATCCCAGGAGGGGAAAGTATTTGTAGAAAAACGTGAATGCACAAGAGCAAAATGGGCTTCGTAATCAGCGTTCACCAGATCATAGAAATACTGATAGACCTGTATAGGGGCGAGTTGACCCTTGTAAACAATGTTCTTGTTAGAAAGGGAACACAAGTAGAACCAATTGTGTAAACCAATTGTATGGGTTGCACGCTTTCGGAGTACATAGAGTTGTCTTTCGAAAAGTTTCTCATCAAATTGCTCAGGGTCGGTAATTTCCGGTGAGTTTCCTGGGCCATATGCAGATGCTAGCACTACGAAGGGCTGCAATATGATAGGCTCACGAGATGCAGCAGCAGGACCAAGGAGAGTAGAATCTTTAGGAGGTTCTCGCCAGCCTAGTACTCTTAATCCTAGAGATTCAGAGATCTCTTCCAATTGTTTCTTTGATTCTTGTAGAGTTTCCTCGTCTGGCTTGAAGAAGAGATTTCCCACAGCATATTGACCTAACGGTGGAAGCTTGATATCTGTCTCGCGCTCGAAATTTTTGATAAAGAATTTGTGAGGAATAGATGTCATAACACCAGCACCATCTCCATCTCTCGCATCTGAACCCACAGCACCTCGATGGGTCATATTACAAAGAAGGTTTCGTGCTGGAAGTAACAAGGTTAGCAAATGTGTACTACGAGTGAAATATAAGAGGCCTACCATCGCTGACAATTTTGTGGCTGGGTTTGCCTTTAATGTTACTATGTTGAGGTTAGATGTGTTCTCCGAGATGCAAATTCACAGTTCTCACCAAGCAAAACCAACACCGCAAGCATCCTTCTCCAAGCTAGGATCATATAAACCCCTGTTTTATGATTAGTGAAGCTCAACAAGAGGTTGTACCAGACAGCGGTACTCACTGCTTCACTGGGAGTGCTCCAGCCCATGAATCATTTCCTTCAGCCTCATATTGATATTGATTGTAAGGCTCATTCCTCGCATCAATCTCAGTTTGTCTGTCGTTAAAATCTTCCGCCCTTCCAATGCCCATCGTAGGCAAGGCAGCCGGCGATTGTAGGATCGATTTTGTTTTGATGTTGAGAGCGCAGCTCTTTATTCTTTATTGGGTTGAGGTATGGAGTGTAGAGAGGGTGTTGAGTTCGTGCAAATAATGTTTTCTGATATCTCGAAGAGGAAATTAGCTCAAAATATGGAAGATTTTTGGTTGTCAAACAAAGAACTTTTCTTTTCTCAGCAAGATTTATGGACGATTGTGCGGAGTCAATTTTTGTGTGAAGTCCAACACTTGATTGACTTAGCGCAGAAGATGTGTAGTATGTAGGTAACTTTTTCTTTGCGGTATGAAAATCGACTGATTGATCTGGCCTGGTAAAACTCAACAACTGTCTGCTCTTGGTAGAAGATCTTTTCATATGTGTAAATAGTTGAAGTTTGTGGATCGAATCAATTGCCACCTCCAGTTTATTTTGGTAATAATTGCAGTATTACTGGCTGTGTGAAATTTGTATGGACATGATAATAGTGGGCGGCGTTCCAGATAAGACGAGGGGCGAGGGGTATGAAAAAGGAAATCCACGTACCAAAAAAGCGATTGCTTCAAAAGGTTTGGATATTTTGCCACGACAACAACTGCACGACGACTGAAGTAGGTAGAGAGATGCACTTTGGGGTATTTGATCGGACAAAGAGTAGGATCCAGCACAGTTCAAGAGGGAGGCAGGCTTTTATGAGGAAGATGATCTCCAGACAGAGGTGGAGAATGAACATCCAGCGCGAATCGGAGCAGGCCGTCCAAGATTGTCCAAAATTGTCCAATAAATTGTTTGATACTAGGGACGCGGCTGCTGATTCATCGATTAGGTATAATTTGGATTTGAATTTGTTGGATCTCATTCACTTTATTGCACTTGCGAGCATTACACTTGTTGTGAGACTTCTTAGACTTATTAGACTATTACACTTATGACACCTATGACACCTATTGCCGGTACATCTATTACACTTTTTCCCGCACGTATTAGAGAAACCTACCTAGGACCTACGGAAAGGTAAAAAGGTACCTACTAGGTAGTATGGTATGTGCCACTCGGGAAACTCTTCTCTACAAGACTTTCCACTACCTACCTACCTAGGTACGGGAACTATTCGTTGTAGATATATCTCCCGGTGATGGTAGTAAGAGTAAATCAAGACCATCGGGACCTAGTAGATACCTAGTACTTACTACAAACAGGTATTTACAATCTTCCTACAACTTCTGATTTCACTACCTCAAGTACTTATATGTTCCATTCAAAAGATACCTACACAAGTGTCAAGAAGAGAGTCTACAATCCAACTCCTCGTATGTGCTTCGTAGTACAGGACCTAATAGATGGCTATCAAAATCATATAAAAAATATCGAGTGGGTTAAGCTCTTTAGACCCATGCTGACCATTTCTCCCACTCCTATGGATTGAACAACCGATACGTTTATTTCCCCCACACTTGGATGCATCGACCAGGTCAAGGATCTTTGCATGGTGTGAATTGGCCAGTTCTCTAATCGACCAATGAAATATCTCACCGAGAACAACTTCATGGAGCTCGACTCTCAATATAACTCAAGATCTCTGCCGATGTCGCTCCAGTGAAGTATGGTCAATATATAGGAAGATTTTATGGGTAACATTACCTTTGTTGGACAGATGATTGGGTCAATGCCAGCATCCGGAGATACTCTAACATGTTTGGAAGAAAGTAGCCATGCCAGGATAGGCCTACGATGAACCTCATTCAACGTGAGATATGGGATCAGATTGGGAACGACTTGGAGGTGATGATATCGATCTGTGAATTGATTCCCATTGGCAGCGGCGGCAAGGATCCCCGCGTTGCAAAAAAAAAAATTACACACAGGAACATGAACATCTAGAGGTCCGACCAATTACGCGCTTCAGATAGGCAGATTACCATTGAGATTGATTGAGTGAGGGGTATGTCCCCCAGCCCCTGTTCACACAGCCATGAAGGAAATATCCCACCTTCAAGTACATGCAGCATTGCAGAGTCGTAGACAAGCAAATCTGACGTTTTTCTTCATGCGAGTTGCTTGTGACATGTGTAACTCTCGTCGAAAAAGACAACAGGCCGCGAAAGAGAATTCCCCGGATCCGACCGATGCATGCAGCACGAGGTCTTTGGCTGGCAGAAAAAGTAATCAAATTCATTTCATATCATACGAGAAATTTTCTCCTCCGATCACACCAATCGAGAAGATGGCGGTCAATAAGATTATGGAGACTTGGTAGGTCCCTAGGTAGTTGTTTGTCAGAACAATAATGCTGCAATGCGTTTTGCTTTAAATGTCGGGTGAGATCGGGGACTTGAGACGAGGCTAGAATATGATGTGATATTCATTTATTTAATGATTCAGCATTGTTTTATGTATAACTACCAGGGGCTTGTAAAATAGCACAGCAAGATCACAGCAACTCGTACCGACACCTTTTCAGGGTGACTTGAGATGGCCTGCTATTCTACACAGATCTAAATTCTAGACTTGGTACACTTTGAGAAGATGGTTAGTTCCAACAGGTGAGAATCAGAAGTAGAATCATATTTTGTACTTTAGGAAACTACGGGGAAACGAGCCGAGATAGAAGGGAGGTATCTACACAGGAGACATATGACATTTGATCAGATTTATGGCTGTATCAACCAAATGAACGTAATACTATTCATCATTTCTGTGAATATGGGAGAAGAACCTTGACGAATCCTAACTGAACATGGCTGAGAAAGATTTTAATTCTGCCGTGGCTACTTCACCGCCAAAACGAGGCTGCATCGCCCGCAACCATCCCGCCAGGCTGAGTCAATTAGTCTCGGGTCAAGGCTCAAAGGAAAGAGGCAGGCTATCGAGTTTGGTACAACAATTCTAGAATTCCTCCACGAGCACCACCATTTCAGCATCATAGTACAGCCTACCAACAACATATAACCCCTTTATCATTGCCGTGTTCCCCAAGTACAAAATCATTACAATCATGTTTTCCCTTCCAAACCTTGCCCCGACAGACGTGTGTACACAGTCCATAAGCTTTGTTTACCTGAAAGTCATAACTAACTCATACATCACAGTCCTACAATCTCTGGTACACATCATCTCATAGCAACATTCCCCAGCACACAGAACCCACAAACAATGCATTTGATCATACCGCTCCCCATATCGCATCTAACCAAAACCACGGCTCACGTCGTCAACAAGCCAGCAATAGAACACCCCTAGCACGACTACGCTTAGATGAAGAATATATCGAGAGGAGAAAACAAAATGTACAAAACTGGGGAAGTTCCTGGATCAAGCCTCCTGGAGTACCAAAATCATTGCATCAATTGAGAGAAGAGAAGAGAGAAATGGAAGAACATCAAGAAGCAATGAGACGAGAACAATTGGCACAAGAACTTGCCGAAGCGGAACAGGCGGAGGCGGAGGCAATGATACCGGCTGAGGATCTTGAGGGGGAGATGGACGGCATGGTGGATCTTGATGATGAGATTCCCGATGCGGATGAGACGGGGATGGGACCTAGTGATTCATCCGATGCCAGCGAAGATGATGAAGAAGATGAAGAAAACGATCTCGAGGATGTTCCCAGAGCACTCGCAGCTTCTCGCATGACGGATGAAGCTTACAGAGATGCGATAACACGTCTCGGAGCTCCCAGAGGTTCAATGCTCGAGGACGATGGCGCTTCGACCATTGCTGAGGAAGAGCAATCGCAAATGCTACAGGAGGAAGATCTGGTACATGAGCATGAAGAAGATAATCAAGATGAGGATATGGAAGTCGATCTTGATGATGATATTCCTGAAGCCGACGAAGGATATGAACATACGGACACAGAAGATGAAATTGATAGCAGTGAGGAGGAAAGCGAGGCGGAAAGTCTTCCTGCTGGAAATCATGGAGGTCATGGTGCGAGTTTGGTTAGGAGTGATGGTACTCAAAACTCGATGGATCTTTCGAATCTTATATCGCACGATAGTAGTGTGTTATATAGTAGTCCTCGAGGAGCAAGATGATATGATGCATGATTCATTCATGGATATAGTCACAATTCTTGGAAGAAAAGAAAGACACAACGTCGAGGGCTGACAAGCAATACCCTTTGTAGAGTTTTGGGGGATGCTCACGTACAAAGTATATGATTATTGCAAGTCAGCATAATTGGTCGCTGTGCAGCAATCTAATACCACCAATGGTAGACACAACACTCTATCCAACAAAGCAAGCCTATCACGTACTAAATCAAACCAGCACATAAAACAAGCGTATAGCACAACACCCAAAACAACTCAATTCATTGGAAGAGATAAAAAGGTATCCGATAACTACGGCGTCATGGAGTATACATCTTTTTTTCGATACCCCAATATAAAATTTCATGTTTTTTCATTGTGGGAGGGTTTCTCTGGTGAGTGTGAAGTGATCATGCTACTTACCTGGGTACCTAGGTATAGGTATAGGTATTGATAGTAAGTGAATAATAGTGATTATGATAATGATGATAATGATGATAATGATAATTTTTGTAGATGGGTAAGTGAGGAATTCGGTTTGTGAGCTTGAGAATGTTGGGTTGGTGTGATGTTGGAAGTTGGAAGTTGGTGATTAGTGGGAGTGGGAGTGGGAGTGGGAGTGAGGGTCTGGGTGGAATGTTGATGGGTGGGAAGGGGTGAAGGGGTGAAAGGGTGAATTGAAAAATTGGAGTCTGAGGGGAGGGAGGGGGAGGGGGAGGGAGAGTGATTTCTTGAGAGGTGGAAGGAAGGGGAGAAGGAAGGGGAGAAGGAAGGAGAGACGATTTGTTTGTTGGGAATTAAGAAATGGGAATTAGTGAGAGGCAGGAGGGAGGAGGAGTAGGGAGGAGGAGTAGGGAGGAGGAGTAGAAGTACAAGTTCGCTGACTGGGTGGATAGATATAGATTGGATTAAATAAAAGAGGTGTGGAAAAGATCTGTGGATAGTGATGATGTTGTGAATAGGTTTGGGAATGGGGATGGGGATGGGGATGGGTTGGAAGAGGAATAGGAATATGAGTGTTGAGGAGAGATTGGATAGGGATGATTGGGCTTGGGTGTGGGTGTGGGATAGGGATTAGAATCAAAATCAAAATCAAAATCAAAAGTGTGAGATATTACTTACTACATGGGAGCTCAAAAGTTTTTGGATTGAGTTGAGCCGAGTTGAGCCGAGTAATCGAGATGAGAAATCGTAAGGGACTCCAATGTGAGAGGATTATGAATATACGATATGATGGATTGGAAAAGGGAAAGGAAAAAGGGGAATACAAATGCTAGCATTAGTAGGAACTCGAGAGGATGGTGGGAGGAATGATGCGCGTGAAGATTCTTGGTGGAATCGCTGTGGTTGATTTATGAATGTATAAATACCTATACATGTGTGTGTATATACATTTTCGCCTTAGCCCCCATTGTATTTTCTAACTAGGTAGCCACTCCATCTCCTCACCTCCACATCTCCTTAACACAAAGCTCCCTCATCCCATTCCCACCCCTCCCTCCCCTCCTCCCCTCCTCCCCTCCCTCCATCTCAAATGTTACAAAACATCATCAAGGTAAACATTGACCTATCTCTCATCAGTTCCCAACTCCCAAACCATCTCTCCCAAATCCTCAGACTCAAGATATGAATAAAATACACTCACTATAATAAGCATTACTAGCTTTACAACTCCCACTCGCGCAAACCGTCGGCCCCGTATACCCCGTTCCACCACACTGTCCATAAAGCGTTTGCTGAGCCCCGGCCGCAGAAGACGTCGTCGTGCTAGCTACACTACTCGAGCTAGTTTTCGTCGTGAGAGTAGGTGTCGTCGTCGAGGTCAGAGAAGTCGTCGGTAGAGAAGTCGTCGCACCTGTGCTTGTTGAAGTTAAAGTAGAAGTAGATCCCAACGCTGTACTAGTACCAGCGCCAGAACTCGAAAGGGTTCCGATTAGTCGGATATCCCGACTGCTACTTCCTACATACACGTTGAATTTTCCGGCTGGTAGGATCCAAGACTGAGTCGTCGTATCCCAGTAACTTAAATCTTTTCTTCGGAGAGAGAAGGTAACGCTGTTTGCGACCCCGGCTGCGAGATTGATTTTCTTGAACCCGCGGAGTTGTTTCGGGGGTGTGTTTGGGACGGAGCTCGGAAATCCAATATAGAGCTGTGCCACTTCCGCACCGGAAACCGTACCGTTATTTGTAACCGACACCGAGACTGTAGCGATGACGTCGTAGAGATTTGCTTTTCCTCCCGGCAGAAGAGCGCTACTTCCAGGAGCCGTAGAAATAGACGAGAGAACGAGATTCGCATATGAAAACGAAGTATAACTTAGCCCGAACCCAAATTCATAACGTGGCACGATGGAACTCTGATCAAAATGTCTGTAATCGATAAACAATCCCTCAGCATAACTATCATCACCACTCGCAATCGCCGTGCCATAATCAGCCTGCGTCTTGGCGATTGTGTAAGGGAGTTTTCCGGAGGGAGACACAGATCCGTATAGAATATCCACGAGCGCATTTCCGGATTCTTGACCGGGAAGACCGGCCCATACGATGGCGATGACGTTGGGGAGAGCGAGGATGCTTTCGAGGATTAGGGGACCGACGCTGTGAACTACTACGATTGTGTTTTTGTTTACGGCGGCGACTGCGGCGACGAGGGCGTTGCCTGAGTGCCAGGGATCGAGATTTATGCGGTCGCCTTTTGCTCCTTCGACCTGTTTTGAGGGTAAGTAAGAGCGGGGTTTGAATACACTTTGGAACATACAGTTATATATTCCTCGCCTGCATCGGAATTGATAAAAACAATAGCTGTAGCGGCAGCACTTGCCACTGAAGCCCCTGTTGATGTTGAATCTGTATTTGAAAGAGTTAAGGTCGTGCCATCTGTAGCGGCCTTGACTTTTAGTGCATCATATGGTGCAACTAAATATGGGAAGTCCGCTGTTCCTGAGCCCCAACCCTATATATCACAATTAGATCTAATTCTTTCGAATCAAGAGCAGTAATTTGCAGAAGAGAGAAAACCACATGACTCACCATAGCTAAAGTCCCCGTATCACAACCCCTATCTGTACATGCATTCGCGCCTGCTGGATTGACAATAGCATCTTGACCAATCAATGCTAAACTGACCGGTTTCTTAAGTGGCAATGCATTATTAGTATTCTTTAAAAGAACGATTCCATCACGAGCAACAGCTCGAGCAACAGTATTATGGGTTGAAGAAACATTGGGACCGCCGACTCCACCATTCCAGGAACTCCAGCCGGTCACAACGGGATAGTTTGTATCTTGACCGAGATAGTACCAGGAGGCTAGAATACGAGTTGCCATGTCATCAAGACGAGTTTGGGGAACTGTGCCACTGCGGAATTGTTAGATGGGATACATGGATATACATTATGGTAAAGGTATTATTTGGTAAACTCACGCAGTAACGGCATTGAGAAGATTAGTTCCCCATATGAAATTATTGTCGCCAAAATTGTCTCCTGGCATCGCCATATCCATTCCTGCATTTGCACTACCAGTGGTAGTTTTCTGCGCAGCCCAATCTATACACTCGTCAGAACCTCTCAACAAAATAGTATCTTAGGCATAGTTCGATCTGATACGATACATACCACTAACAACATAACCTTGAAAATCTAATTCGTTTTTCAACAATCCCGTAAGTAAAGCTTGATTTTCACAAGCGTACGAGCTGTTAAACCTGTTGTATGAACACATTACTGATGCAACGTTTGCCTTCACTGCTTCAGCGAAGGGCCAAAGATATAACTATATTATTGTAAGTATCACGCTTAATTTGTGATGGTAAGTGGACACGCACCTCGTGATTAACTCTGTCGACAATATTCGAACTCATCGTTCCTCGATTCAATTCTTGTTCATTCCCAACTAGAAGAAATAGTTAGATAGCGAATGCCATGAATGTGCAATAACCTACGGTAATGTTTTGCGCATGCTTGGACACCTGCTGCTTGCATGCCCTCTACTGTCTATGAGTTCAACGTCAATACATGTCGTTCTAGTCCTCTCGACAAATTGGGTAAAGGGTGATAAAATGAAGTCTCACATTCGCCATGGCAACACCAGAAAGATAAGGATCATTACTAAACCCTTCCCAATTCCTCCCCCCCTATTCAATATCAGTATTTTCTCAGACAATCCACTAAGGAATAGGAGATAGCGAGCTACAGACCACTGGAATTTTCCCCAAAGGTCCAGCCACAGGACCTAACTGATTATGAACACCGAGTGCTTGGCTTCGGCCCCTATCATGTACAATGAGCTTTCATCCATCGGCATTTTCGTCTCAATCACGATAGTCATAGAATGGATGCCATCATACCTAAGCATTACCCCTCGCATACATCAACTCTGTATCCCACGTGCTACCTGTAGTAATTCCAGCAGGAAATGCGGTTACTTTCTGAGCATACCGAACTCTATCTCACATCAATATTAACATCATTGACCATTATCTTTTCTCAGTGGTCGTTTCGTTCTTTCACAAATCCACAGAAAATTACATACCCAAAGGACCGTCCTTGTAAACAGAAAGCCGGCCATCCAATTGACGGAATAGCAGCGGTATTGCCAACGCAAGGCCCCTTCTCCCATCCAACGCCTGTAACTAGAGTAACTTTGTTCGCATTTGTAAGTTTGGCTAAAGCTGTTTTAGCTTTGGTATATGCGGCATTCCAATCCCCATCACCTGCTGCGGCATGAATGGGGGTAGATAATGCTAGAAGAATAAAAGAGTAGAAATGCATTTTATCTGTATGAAAAGACAGCATACATGAGAGAACAAAACTGAAAGCACAGTGGAGGTAGAAATGAGGAATGATTATCACTACTATATACTCACGTTCGCACTCAAGCTTTGACGGGTGAGATCAGGGTTGTGAAGTCACTACGGAATAACGGCTGGTCATGCAATTTGGAAAAGTAATTTGAATCGGCAATGATCCTTGGTAAACACCCTGAGATACGGCGAGAACGTCCGAGTCTCACCGTGTACCAGATGACTCGAGTCATCCATGGCGATGACGGACTGACAACACCAAGAGCCCACTGTACTTCTAACAGTGGACATGATAGTGGGTGTAAAATCCGATGTGCCTTTCACCAAGCATTTATCAACGCACTCCGAAGAAACAAGCACTTTAAATTCAGAAGTTGAACCTATGTAATTGGTTTGTATTGGCTGGTGAGCCCCATGGGGTACAGAATTTGACTTTAGCATAAATTCCCCACAAACCACCACTTTACTCCCGGTCCGAATCCCCGTTCGGTACTTACTAACAGAAACACAACAACCACATTTTGACGCAATAAAACGTCTGGGTTTATTTTTCACTCTTGTTTCTCTTGAATTACACTCAGCTTATTGGGAGGGGTGGTCTTGGCACGTGGACAAGTTTTTCTTTGGAATTAATATATTCCGAGCTTTTTGGTATCATACTTGTTGATCTGCAAATAGATCTTCTCATCTGCTATCGACATCGTATAATACGTCGGTTCGAATGACGTACTTTGCTGAAGCATTCGAGCTTCGTTTGACACCGGTGCCTTCGTGAAGTAAACTTCCCTCAGTCTCACCATGTGGAAACATTGCCACACTACCTTGAATCGGCTTTATTGAATACGCATTCATGCTACCTTCTTTGGCGCTTGGAAGGAAATAAGTCGTCTCTCCAGCGTCAAACTCATCGTTCAGATATATCAAGAATGTGAATAAAGAAGACTGCTTTGCTTCAGGTGGAGAAGAGTCATAGATGTATTTATCATTCGTGGGGTCAATTCCGGAAGGGGGCCAAGCACCATCTGTATCATTAGTAAGATGGAACTGATGAGAAAGGGGGTTGCTTACCGATATGGGCACGATATTCCGCACCAGGAACATAGCGGTATACACGAAATCTTCTGTTCAGACCTCTTACCTGTTTTCCATTGACTTGCGTTGGAACAAATTCTTTAACTCTATTCCACACTCCATCGCAGAAAGCATTATCCGCAACCCAATAAAAGTTGTGGGCCAAAATACTATTCTCCTCACCTTCCTCACGTATTGGGGCATCTGGTGTAAACCCCACAGTCTCGCCAGCAGCAATGATTCGAATGCATTCTTCTGGACTCAAAACATCCTTAAGTAGATGTAGATTTGGCACAATTGGATGTGTATGGTGAGTTGTCTTTGGAGGAGTATCAGAAAAGGCAATGGCATTGTCCTGTGATGCCCAGAGGATCGCCGGATGGATGTTTGCTGGCTTGCGATCCAATCCTGGTGTTGTTTCTATGACTCGGAATCGAGACTTGATATCTTTTGGCAAGTGATTGAATATGCTACCGTCTAGAACCGAATTGTAGGTCTGGTTGCGTGGTATTGACTCATCCCTCAAGTTCCATGCTTTCCTTGGTACAATGGGACCATTTGTGTCTATACCATCCTCGATCGAATAGTCCACTGGGCCTGTGACTCGAAGTATCGCATCTAGCACAACCAATAATTGCTCCTCTCTCGCCGTTCGCTTGGCTGCGGTTTCGTCAAGTTGCTCTGCTAAACCACTCACAACGTCTAAATCTCGAACCCATCGGCAGAGCGCACCTAATTTGGGCTTTTGCCCTCGGATTCGCATCTCCGCAAGTAAAATTCTAGCTTCGGTATAGCCTTCATCTGCAAGAGCACCGCTGATGCGAGCCGTGGGGTTTGTGTCGACTACACCAAAATTAGTGCTCGCAATTAGTGACGCGGATGGATAGATAGCATACTAGACGCATTGAAGCCTGTTGTGCAAGCATTTCGAAAGTCAAAAACCGCAGTCCGCAATTCCTTACATGCCTTCGATTTTATCAAAGCAGGATTCTGCGCTAATATTTTGAGGGTGTCAACGGATATTTCGATATCTTCCTCGGCGATTAGAAGATCGTGAAGAGTCTTGGGTTCAGTTGAAAGCTCCGGAGGTGGAGTGATAATACTTGTAGTCTTCACTTTCTTGATGTTTTGCTTAATGGGCAGATTTTGCTGCTTCCTCTTGGCCTTTGATTTCACCATTGTAGAAAGAAAATTTCATTCGATTATCGTAGAGAAATTGATAATTGGATGGATGGTACGAGTATCATTTCAAGAATGGTAAATATATTGCCGAGCGGTGAAAAGTGTCGCCACTACTTCCCCACGCCCCCACAAAACTTTCAACCATAATCTGATAAGAAATCCCATTTTGACGTTCCATAGGTATTCGGACTTATCACAGATTGTTCCAAAAGTCACCATGACATCTCGAGCATGAATAAGTCTCAAGTTCTCAGCACATTCAATTCTTCGCAGAAAAAGACACACCCATTTCAATATTAGAATTCTTCTGCAGAAGTATGTTAAAGTTAAGATCTATGCAATTGAGAAGGTCGGAATAAGCTGTGTGTTCGTTTACTATCTCTGCTCTGGGACAATTAGTCCTACCAATTACCTGAAATATCGGTGTCCTCGACGAATATAGTTATTCGTACTTCAATGCTGTGCTACGTTACCATTGGCAAGCATTCTGTAACCAGGTTGACCTAGTATGTTTGGCCCACGGCTGGAAGCGATTACCCAGATCTTGCAGGTGTACGCGTCGCAGCATGAATCTTTTCATTTCATTACCCGTGAGTGATTTTCGTGCCAGCCATTATCAAACATTCTATATTTCGGGCGAGGGGACCTTTGTCTCCAAGCAACAAGGATCCTGTCGATTCTCGGGCCAAGGCCACACGAAGTCAGCATATAAGGCGTTTATCCAGGCCAATGATGTTGTAAATACTTTCGCAAAAGTAAGCTGGATTTAGTAGTGCAGCCACTGCAGCGACCAGTTTGACGGATCAACGAATTAATGAACCTACAGATACACGAAGTAGTATGCCAGCGGCATGCAAGGAGCAAGAATTGACGATGAGCCAGCCTATCGGTTGAGATCTTGCATGCCGTTTGAAAAGTTTTGGAGATGCTGCCTGTTCATTCGCGGGCTATTCTTCAATGTGTTTGTAGCTGTAAGACTGTTTGAGAGTATATATCCCACCATCTGCAATTGAAATCTAAAGAGTGGATTTGATTTACAGTAGAAAATATAGGTTTGTCAACTGACTCTCATTTTTTCCTTACTACCATCTGGCTCCAGCAGAGAGAATGGCTTCGGCACACGTAGAAACACCACCTGCAGACACAACTGGTCTACCAGATTATCTTCTGGACCCTAATGCAGTGATGAAAGACGTTGATGCCAAATGGCGATACAATCAACCGCCGGACTATACAAATACAAGAAGAGTCTGGGCACAGAGTGTGTAAATCACAGATCACCATCTACAGAGAGAAACACTCATTAATTTCTCGCAGCCAAAACACAAAGTCACACGGCTACGTCCCTACCATCTCTTGTCGAAAACCTCGTCAAGAACTGGGAAGTAGAAGCCTCTTTCAAAACTGACATTTCTGACTGGCGCACCATCGATCATCCCAACTTCACATTCTCTATCAATGGCTCTGCGCCTGTTACAGGTGAATATATGTTGAAAGTGGGCACTTATAATGCTATCCTTACATCGAACGAATACTATTCTCCGGAAAAATCAGATTTTTCGAGCAGTCACAGGACATTTAAAAGGATGATGCCAACCTTCGCATGGGAGGTATTAGAGGTATATAGTGGGCCACCAACCGTTAGTTTCAAATGGAGACATTGGGGTATTATGAAGAATGATTATGTTGGAGTTAATGAGTACGTTCATATCTCCTCCCACCTTTACATCTTCCCCTTGCCCTGCGTTGACCTCAATTAGCAAAGGCGAAAAGGTAACCATTCCCTCGCATGGCGGAACAGTCGACATCAAAGGCGTTGCAATAGCGAAAGTCGACTCAGCAGTACGTCTCCAAGCTGTAGAGATATTCTACGATCCCCTAGAGATGTTCCGACAGATAGTGAACAATAGCGATGTCAAGAAATCCGAGTTGCCTAAAGGGAGCAAGGACGATCTAACAACATTGTTACATGGGGAAGGATATGCGGCTGAGCAGTCAGAGGCTGCGGTGTTATCCACAGGTTGCCCATTTATGCCCGGGGAGAACAGGGAATAAGGTCGATATTTGGAACTATGATACATGGTCCTCTCAATTGGAAGTACTGAGAGACTTGATACCGCTGGGATATGACTGTTTTTGCGCTTGAGGACCGCGATTGAGAAAAATTGAATCTAAATTTGCCCACTCAACCATTTATCTACTTGGTAGTAGAGCATCTACTATCTTGCACGTCTTTCACGTCACGTCTGCTTCATATTTCTATTAATCTGTCAGTGATTCTCTCTCAATGGGGCGATGAAGCAGCTTCCAGCCAAATTTAGTCGGATATTTGACTGCCGCAGTTTTGGGTATCATAGCTTGACCAGGTAACATCAGTTGTTTAAAAGTCACTTGATGAATATCCGCAGCTTCAGAATTAAAGGCCGGATCATTGATTGGCTTGCTGCATGTGAAAACAGATGATGGCCTTTGTCTAATCACTTGAAGTTAAGAATGCAAAACAGCTAGAACTAGATAGCTCTTAGCAATTTCCCATACAGTATGTACTAGTAGCTGGAGAATCTTCCTACACAATCATTAATTGGGGTACTGTTCTAAAACAATATTTTAGAGGGTCCGCTAAAACCTGAATAGTCCGAGCATAAAACAATGTGGACAACTTGGGTTTGAAGATGTCTTGGCAGGGCTGGAAATATCTATTTGAAAGTCAGAGGACGCTTGAATGATTTATCTGAAATCGACTTTTGACACATCTCGATGTACGAAAAGGCCCTGTGCTTTGTGCTAAGATTCCAGTATCCCCTAAGGTGCTAGAAATAGGCTCCATCGCTTAACAAGGATCTTATTGATCAATTAAATTATCAGGATTTTGAGAATTCTTGTTATATTAGAAGATCTTTTTACAATTATTATCAAAACATTTATTGATGTTATATAAATATGTACTCGTGCTATCTATAATTTCGTCGACCTTCCTCTGTGCTCTGGAAAATACTATAATAACCGATATACGAGCTTGTTTTAACCTTTTATGTTTTCTCATAGAGAAGCAAACATCCTTCCGGGAAAAGGAAGTCCCCTGGCTTGAAAATCATAAGTCGAATGGAGAGATTTTGTTTCTAGCTGCGGGGTGTACTGCGATGATAATGGAAACCCTCTAACAAGCAAGCCTAAAACTTTGTTAATACAACCAAGTTTGTCCTTTGCGAAATTCAAGTTTTTGAATGCGTCCAAAACTATTCCCACATCGCACCTTGCAGTATTCACGCAAATCACACGGATCCAGCTCCCATAAACTTCTACTTCTGCAACGTGGTGGTAATTTGTAATTATTTCATATGTGATTAACGTATCTACCGTCTATTCATACAGTTATATTCGTCTTTCATCTTCTGATACAGGTGAAAATATCTATGAAGCTATCACGAGTCTTACTGATGTGAAGCAAGATGACAGCATAGCAGTCTGGTATAACAAGTCTTCCGCAGGAGGATTTAGCTTTAGTCCTCAATTCAGATTTATTAACGTCATAAGCAATTCAAAAGATGCTGTGGAAGTATAGAAAGCCTACGTAAGTAGACGCTTGCCAAACCTCGATAGAAATAGCTTTGGATTGGAGAGTAAATACTTCTTCTATCTAATTGCTATCGATTTTTTGTTGCAGTAAATTCTTATGGTTGAATCCGGGGATTTTTATGAGTTGAAGACCAAGATTCGGGCCTCGATCAGCAGTATGGAAGCACCTATTACATCGAACCGTTTTACGGAGGTTGTCATCGAGGCCGCTTCCGAAAATGCCAGAGTGTGAATTGTCAACGCAAAGGCTTATCTACTCAACGAAAGACACAGCTGAACTATACATACGAAGGGCATGAGAGCTACAGTAGACCAGGGTAGTTTAAACCAGGAGCTAATCAATCTAGCAGAGCGTTCGCCAGCCATGCGAATAGTATGGAAACTCTAATTCTCCTTTTTTCCATCTGGCGAGAATACAGGCATTACAACTTACTTTGATCGCCTTGCTTTTAGAACAAAAAGTCATGGTTCTGGTAGTATTCCCGTGAGTATTGCGTAAATAGCCGGTGCTATAGATCTCCCTGCTCATAGAAATCCTAACTTGAGAATTTTGGAAGTGGACAGCAGTTGCATAGATAGATACATCCGAACTTTTCCCCCAAACACTCAATTCTTCTACCAAGCTAAAACACTTCCAATCCTACACCTGGGGAATAGTCACCGCAAATGAAGAGTGCAACGAAACGAAAATTATTTTTAAGCACTTAGACACACTCTTTATATCTCATCATTCATGCAATCAATAGATATCATTTGATGGCTCCACCCCTTTTTCATCGAAGTAGTAACTCTATCGTCAAGAACCATGATCGACGATAAATTATTCCGGTGCGTCCATTTTGGGCATAGAGACAATCATATCGGTTATCTGTAAGCTACTGAATGCTGGCGTACGCATCTCTATATAATATATCTATCAACAATTTCTTCTTCCACTACATCATCAAGTGCGCTTCCAACCTTGACCGGCGCATAAAGGTGTCTCTCCTTGTTGGAGTTCCTCCGGGTCAAGTATGACCTCAACACTAGCGCTAATATAGCACACAAACCCATCAATGCTGCGCTGGCCCCCAAGCCTCTCGGGTGTGCAGGCTCATCCTCGGCTCTCCACCAGGGCTTTACTCCGGCGGGAGAGAATATAACTGACAGTTGTGCCGCCCCCACAAGTATCGTCAGGAGAATTCCTCGCCCAAACGCCGATTGTTCACTTCCTAATGCCCAGGAAAGAATTATCATCATCGCGCCGTAGGATCCTACGCAAGCTGGGAAAATGGCAAAGAAAGACCACCAGATATTCCAGTCAAGGATGGCAACTAAGGACATGGTGGCAAAGCCTGCTGCAGAAAGGAGGCTACAAACAAAAACGAAAGAACCTCGAACTTGCTTTTTATCGGAAATCCTCGCTAAAATGAAGATTGTAATGATGGAAACAAGATATGGAGTTATGGTTAGGAGGTTGAAGATTAAGTGTGATGATGGAGCCAAGTCTGAAATCACGGTGAAGAAAAAGTAAGGCATGGAGACAAAAGATATTCGATGGTGTACGGCGAGGTAACAAGGTGCTGGTGCAGTTGCCAAGTTGGCACAAATAAACATTATAACGAACATAACGTTTTTTGGCTCATAAAGGTCCTTGAATTTTGACTTCCAGCTGGTTGAGTCAAGAGAGTTCATGAATCTTGTAGAAAAGCTATTCTCGATGGAAACTGGAATTTTTAACCATAGTATAGCGATGACGATGATACCGAGTATACCATCAATAGCGAAGATAGCTTGCCAACCCAGAATAGACTTATCTTTCATGAAACTGACCAAAGCTGAAAGAAGTGGTCCAGCCACTACAATCTCAGCAGGAGATACGGCAACAAAAATTGCAACAGTAGTAGCCAATTTGCTCCTAGGAAATTGTGAAATTGACAGCAACAACGATCCAGGAAAGATCGCGCCACCGATCCCAAGCATTGAGCGTATAATGAGTAAGACTTCCGTAGAGGAAGCCCCGATCTGTGCTAACACTAACAGAGTTTGAAGACTTGTGATTATGAGAGCCATCTTGTGGATATTGATATTTGATATCTGCCATAGTAGTAGTAACCAAGCGAATGCAAAAAGTACGAATTTGGTATCCGTGTATAATTCTTCGGAATCGATTTGCGCTAATTTGAAGTGGGCTGAGAGGCCAGCGGTGCGGGCTTGTCCAATAACTGTTACTTGTTAGTAGTTGTTCATCGGGAGCAGGTGGGAATTCTATAACTTACAGAAGTCATCGAGTTGCCACCAAATGTAGGGAAGGAGAAGATAGATGGTAGAACTAGGACGGGAGGTGTACAGTGAGGAGCTGTCGCTCTTTTCGAGGTCTTCTGGGAGTATCATTATTAATCTTTTGCGAGTTCGAACATTTGCCGTGGATATTGAGAAGTGAAACGACAGAATGGATAGATGAAATGAGCTGGTAGTATCCGATGAAGATCACAGGATATTGTTGAGTTATGGAAAAGATTAGACAGAATCGATAATCCGCTGAATCCGAGTACATTAGCTGCGAAATTTGAAATCAATACAAGACACAAAAACTTGGCAATTTTGACTCTCACGATAGTTCAGAATCTCTTCGTAAGACCTAATGCATATCATAGTAGGAAAGGCGACCCGCAATTGTTCGCTAACGGCAAGTTGTAACGAATTCAGGGGCCCACTTCTGACCCCCGCATTACAGCAGCAACGTAGTACATTCTAAGCGTATACGAATTTTGGAGGGGTAAATCTCTGTTATCAGTAAATCGGCGTTCTTATCATCATAGTAAGTCTTTCATATCAAACAATAGAATGCTATGTGTGCTCGTATAGTAGCTTCCAGGAGGACGATGAAAGAGGCAGGGGGTTTGCCCTGAACTTCCACGAGAACAGCGATTTTGATGTCCAATCTAGAATCTAACGACTGAACGCCACTATGAACAAACGTGTGAATTTACGATACTGGAAAGACTTGAAACTGCTAAAAAATACTTTGTTTCTCTCAAGGAAAATATCGTTCAAATCTACGGCAATGCTGCGGATTGAAATCGAAGTAGGTCAAATTTTGAGCTCCAATTTATTCATTATGCTGCTATAATTGTAGGTACAGATAGATCTCCAGAGATTTCACTTGCTAAATACTGTTACAGCCCCTAGTCCCTTCTTCCATAGAAACGAAGGAACTAATTTTCGTATCCTGGATTGTCCATAAGGCTCCTGTATGCTATTAGTACAATAGATTTTGGTTCAAAGAGAATATGAAACCTACTTAAGTGGTACACAAGGCATGAAACCCAAAGTACTCTCCGTTATCGACATATCATTCGCAAGAAAAGACTCATTATACGCATTCTTGATCGTTTTCGTAATCGTCATCGCACAATGATTAACATGATGAATACTTCCCACCAATCCCGGAACCATCGTTTTCTTCAGCGCAACCGCCAACGCCAACTTCTGTAGCACAAATGTGCAATGCTCATCATGCCAATAATGAGTAAAAGCCCGCCGGGCATCACCTGATTCTAACCGGGAGATGTCGGCAGGAATCGTCAAGTTCGTGTCGACGAACCATTCCCGGTCGCGGAAGGGATGATAGTTGTCGTTGCCTTCGGGAAACGAACACTCGGGAGGCGCCCAAAAGCGCCCCATGGGATAGTAGCTACATCCTCTAGATCGCGCTTCCTCGGGTGTCTTTCCACAGTCTGTGTATGCGTAGTAGCCGGAATCGCCTTTAGACCATGGCCAGCGCACAACGGTGATGAGGAGGGCGGCGAATGCGAAGCTGGCTATACAGCCGAGGAGGATAGAAGGGAGGGAAGAACTGCGTCGCTTGATGGGTTGGAAGTCTGTGATATCGCTAGTGCTTTGAGAGTCGATATCTTTATAGCGTGAATCGCCGTCGAGATCCATGCTGGCTAGATGTTTAGTTGAGAGACAAGACTTGCGACGGGTTTAGAACAGAGAAGTGTACTGAAGACGATGAAAGTTATAAAAGTTAAGAAGAAACAAAAGACTCGGAAGGAAAAAGAAGGTGGGAAGCTAGATGAAAATGAAGACCAAAGACAGCAATTTCGAGAAGTCTGCAGTGCAGTTCAACGATAAGGAATTCTAGATTCATGAATCCATTTGAAACATTAACCCACTTCAGTACATTAAGTTGTACTGAGAATTTTGCAACTGGTTGTCAATAACTTTGGACTGCATTTCAGATTTTAGAAACCTTGTCAAGAAAAGGTAAATAGAAGTTGAAAGTCGACGCGAGAAATGAACCTTGGACTTCAAAGCTCTTGATAACAAGCAGTTTATGCAATAAGTATCCAATGAAAGGAAATGTCATTTTTCAGAAGCTACCGGAAGTATTCACGGAGTACAAGCTTACCTACCCACTTATGTATGCAAGCTGACCACAAGCGAAAATGGAGTTTACTATGGCAAGCCGACACGACAGCTTGGCCGAGGTAGGTGAACGAGAGTCGTACAATTTCGAATTGCAGATGAAGAAATTCGAAATCATTGTGTTTTTTGCGCGATCAAATTCTGCAGACAGCTTAGCTTGTATCAGAGTTGTAATGAATGAAATCATGAATGCAGATGCAAATTCGCTAGTAATACTAGGTAGATGTCGATACCACTAAACTTCTCCAGCGACAAGCAATATATAAGACTACTATCCTCAGAACTTTCCTAAATTTATAACCATCAGCTCCGATAACTTCATCTCAGATATCTCTTCATCTACCTCAAACAAACTAACCTAGTCAATTCAAGAAATCAACTCAAACCGCAATCATGAAGTTCACCGTCGCTACTCTTTTCCTCGCAACCATCTTTGGCATGGTCATTGCGGCTCCCGTCAAGAGAGAAGAAGCCGCTGTTGCATCTACTGAGGGTGCTTTCGAGGAGGAGAAGACTATTGTTGTGAGTGAAATCCCTATCGTATAACTTGGATCCTAGTAGAGCATTTTCTAATCACAGATGAGAGTAGATCGTTCGTGTCAAGGGCGAGGAAGTGGAAGAAGCCGCGTCAAAAAAAAGAGATGAGGCCGCTGCTGCCTCTACTGAAGGTGCTTTCGAGGAAGAGAAGACCATCGTGGTAAGTTAGACCCAGGGCTCCTTAGTAGAGCTCGAATGTTATGATTAGTTCTTGCTAATCAAAATCGTGGAAATAGATTGTTCGTGTAAAGGGCGAGGAAGTTGAGGAGGCTGCTTCCAAAAAGAGAGACGAAGCTGCTGTTGCCTCCACTGAGGGTGCCTTTGAAGAGGAAAAGAGTATTGTTGTAAGTAGTGTTCAATTCTTTCAGTGAAATTTGGAAATATATAGAGTGTTTACTAATCGAATTCGCCGAACAGATTGTACGTGTTAAGGGTGAGGAAATTGAAGAGTCTGCATCCTAGATGGTGTAGTTAATATTTGGATCTGGGGGATTTGCGAGATGAGTTATGATTTATGATCACGAGGATGAGATGGGGGGTTAGTACCGGGTCTAGAATAGTTGAATGTCTAAAGCTTGAGCAGTAGATGAAGGGCTTTCCGATCGCGGTCTTGCCAAACACTAGAGCGTAACTTCAGTAGTGCATAGATCACCTGCATTTAGCACTGGCAATGCTAGAATAGATGCATAAAACTATTTGTATCGTCTTTAACCTACTTTGAAGTTGTTATGCGATTTGTGATACCCAGGGGTTTTAATGGTCCAGATCGCGGTAAAGTAATCAGTGTTTTATTTTTCTGCATTATCTTTTACTCTTAAACCTTATGAAATATTCTACGAGTTTTTATCACGAGGTACTGCTGATCACTGGTATTAAATTTGAGAGTGAATCTCCTAACTCCGGAGAATGCATCTGTACGAGAGCCTCAGCGTTCATAAGTTTTAGTAAAAGAGCTTGCCACGAGCAATGCTCCAGCCGCTGTTAGTATCAATACTTTGATAAAATTCTATTGAAATATCCGACAAGGACATGGAATATAAATAGCGGAAGAAATTTGTCGGAATGATTTAGGTCATTTCTTAAGTTAAATCTTTTGGGGATATTAAAAAGATTTGAGATGTTGCATCTATTTTATATACTCAAACGTCTTGCAAGATTCCATTCAGTTCGATTACTAACTTGTGTTCAAATATTTACAGTGTTCTAAACGCCAAAAATGTTGGGACTTGCGGACTATAGTCCGGACGGGGACTATAGGAAGTCTTAATCACTCTTGCCTCCTTACAGCTCTGCGGCAAAGCTTCTTTTCGTAGATAATCTGCCAAGTTGTACATCTGAGTACACAAAAGCATCCTAGGAACCCCTCAAAACAAATTGACACACCCAAAATAAGTAAGCGTAACCTTTAACCCCAAAGTTTTCAGATCCGCAATCTTCTCCTGTCCATCCTCCCTCACATAGTTCCTCGTAACCCTCGCACAATGTTGCGAGTGTTCCTCATCTGCAGTCTTCGTATCCACCATCGGCAATCTCTTCTCCATTGCCATCGCCAGCTTTCTCCATGTGTATAGACAATGTTCATCGTGGTACGCCCAGGTCGTATACACATGGCCGTAGTTACCCGCCCTTACATTCATCATCTCGGTTGTGTTTAAGGGTTGTCGGAGGAAGGGATCGGAGTACCAGGGGAGATCATCAAAGACGTCGTAGTCACCTTCGTCGGTGAAGTAGCAGGCTTCGGGTACCCAAGAGCTGAGCATAGGTTCGAAATGACAGCCATTTTTAACAGCCTCTGCTGGGGTTCTTCCGCAGAATGTATGGTCTGGTGGTTCAGGCCGAGATAATTTGTTTTCCGAGACTCGCCGCGTATAAGAGAAGACTGAAAGAATGGATGCGAAGAGTAGTATGGTCATTACCCCAAAGATAAGTAAGTATTTTGTTGTTGTGAAAGTTCGACGAGAAGGGTTTATGTCGCCTTTGAGCTCGGCGAACTCCTCAGAGAGTAGAGGATCTTGAGATTCTCGACATTCTTCATCTTGCTTAGCCATTTTTGCATTCAACAAAAAATGGAAATTGAGAACAAAGTTGTCGATCAGACAAAGGTGATTTATTGGTTAAAGCTCACACTATAGCAAGCAAAGAACGAGTTCTGTCCAAGATCAAACAACATAGAGTTCGTGGCCATAGCGATATTTTTCGTTAGGTACCCGGAAGCTCAAGCTAGACAAAATATGGTGGAGGGGTGAAACCGTTACAAGTTGCTCTTTTGCGCAACAACTTGCCAGGCTTGGCTCGCCTGCGAAGGTAAAGTTCATATGCGGGGCTCACAGGGGTAGCGATAAGAGATAATCTGACTTGCATAGTCATGCGGGGTCGTAATAAGAAAGTCTAGATCTCTGGCAGTGCTGATAGTGGCACTATATCGCATCACCCAATGCCAAGAATGGATCCGGGCAATTTGAGATGATTTCACACTTTGCTCGTCAAATCATCTTCAATCTTCATATCAAATCTGCAGATCTTGCTCCTCAATTCCAAATTAGCCGATTGGATTTCAATTTGTATAAGACGTTCAAACAGTTTTGGCCGCGTCTTATATTTGCCAGCAAATCCACAATCAGTGAGTGCATAGGCTAAGTATCTATAATTACTCGCCAATCTTAACCACCTCATAAAATTCTACCAAGGATATTATAACATGGGCGAGAGTGTAGATTCATATTTCCGCATTTGCTGTTCCAAGTATTTTCTCAGCGGCCATGAGTAGTGTTTGGTATTTGCGGCAGTACTACAGTAGAGAAATTTACGTACCGTCTCCTCATCAACCCTCTTCCTATAGAAGCCATAACTTCAGAAGCGGTATTATGTTATCATTGGAGTGAAACACTATATAGTAAGAATTGATGATACGAGTAATTCGTATTATTCACCACTTGCTACAGTTATTTGACACAAATTCTAGCCCTATGAAACCAAGATATCCCAAGCCATGAATTTCCGAGAACGTGCAGACTCAACACTAGCATCAGTATATTCCGCATCTAGACTTGATCGCCAGTACTCTTCAAGACGCTCCAACGATTCACGAAATGTGCCGATCCACACTACATTTGGGGAAGTCAGCAAGCTTCTAAAGAAATCATACTGATCTGGCTCTGCTACAGATGCTGCCACACACAGTGGCCAGCGCAATACATTTAAGAGATCGGGATCGTTGATGTAAGCGTAAGACTCAAGTGCTCGATGAACTTCATGTTGGATCTCTGGCAATTTCGGCAAGGCTCCAGATAATACCACTTCCAGAAAGATGGACACAGAGCATGCAAAAATGTGTGTCACAACGAGTATATTGTAGCTTGGCTGTTGAGGCTTAGTGCTCGTACTTTGTTCAATGCTCTCAAGATTCTGCTTGAAGTTGTTAATCTCTTCCATATTCATGGAAATGCCCCTTTCTAATGTTTTCTTGATTGGGAAGGCTTTAGATACCAGTTCTCGTAAACTAAGTAGCCCTTTAACCTCTTTTCTCTCTTTCCATTCACGTAGGGAATATACGTCCAAGAGTATGCTGAAAAGCCAACTGCGGCACTGCAAAGCTGCTTGTAGAGGTGAACTATAAGAAGATGCGTGCAGAAATTGTTGATAACGTCTATTCAACGCTGGGACAGAATTTCTGGTGAGACTTGATAACAAGTCGAATCTGATGATGCAACCAACGAGAAAAACTTTAGCTGACTTGATAGTGCTTGATTCGGCGTCTGTCTCCTCAGCAAACGAAGAGCCGAAAGCATAATGTTGATCTTGATTATCGATCCAAGAAGTTACGATTGAGATACCCGCTTGGAGATGCAAGCACCAGTCAGAAGTTACTGACTTGTATAAAAGCTATAGGGTTTATTTTAGTGTATGCATGCAAAAACTGAATGATTTGACGTACGGCAGAATGCAAAAACATAACTATACAAGCTAATATCGAGACATCTTCGTATGATTTTGGATCTTGCAACTCATTATGAAGTTCTTTGATCGCCACGTCATATTGGGGTGTGTGCTCATCGATGGTTATATTTGTCTGGAGGTATTTGTGCGAACTGCTCAACGCCAATGTAGCATGGTATAGTGGCTGTGACTTGGAGACTAGCCACATGATATGTCCCTGGTTGAAGGCTGACAAATGTGATTGGCAAGACAGAAACTGCCAGTTAAACACTTTCTCGAAATAATAAGCCAATATTGTAGCGTCTCCCAATTTATCGATGGCCAGCGCTGATTTATTGGAGATGACGGCGAGGTTTTTCTGGGAAGAAGAGTGTCCAAATCCAGACATCAATTCCGGGACGTTTGCCTGCTGAGGCCGTGCAACTTTGTTGGCTTGTAATTGGATGTTGGGTGAAGATACCAGATCACACTCAAATGTATAACTATTAGAGTGAAGAAGTTCGATCTCGTGTGATAAGGCTTGTGAATCGGGGAAAAACAAGTCGGTAGAAAGAAAATCCGACAATGTATCATCATTTGATGGAGCAAAATCATGGTCAGAGCCGTGTGAGTGGGAAGAGGCTGCAGGGAAGACAGCCTCAAGCCCCCAGGAGTATCTTTGTGTGGTTGTAGGGGTTGTAACGAAGGTTGAGCTGAGACTGGAGTGCCGAGAATGAGAGTTTGTTCTTGAATTCTTCAATGAAAGGGAATTTTCGCTTGAACTTTCCCTCCTGCGTCTTCGTCTCCTCACTTCCGCTACCATCTGTTTGATCTTTATCGCTTCTGCCTTCTGTCTCGAGCCTCGATCCATCCAAATTGGCTGCTCTCCATATCCGTGGCACTCCAGCTCCAGAGATCCACAGGCTGAACAGATTGGAACTTTCTCGTCACATTTCCTCTTTCTCACACGACAGGTCCAGCATCCCTTTAGGCTTCGATACTCGTTTCCCATTTTGTGAGAACAACGAAAGCAAATTTTTCAAAATGAAAGAACGGGTAAGAATAGGCGCAAAGAAACCAACAGTTTTATAAAAAGTTAAGACTTAATCAGTGTAACGGTTCCATGCTGCATCTACCTCTAGCTAGTAGCTACTGTAACAGCGCTCCTTAGAATTGCTCTCCGTAACACTAAAATAAAGGCAATTCTATCGTGATAAGATCCGCAGGGAATTTACGCGGCAATAGTGCATAGGTTATGCTATGCCTTCCTTTTTTGGTAAAAATGATGACCACCACAAACGAAGTAAGTTCCATCATGATAAGCTCCGTAACCTTGAGTTTATGCAATACCAAACTGCCTTCCTTTTCTGGTGAAAATATGCAATCACCCTCGTGTGGCCTAGATGATGAAATCGTATGTTATATAGCTCTGAGTGCACGGTCGGCTGACAATAAGGTTACAGATCCTCCGGCATATAAAAACGCCAAATCATCAACGTGAATTCTATATCCATCCCACTTATAGAGAGATCTACTCTGTAGGGACATTCAGTGGAACCCTCCTATCTTCCTGCAGGTAAGCAAATTGGCCGTGCTACTTAAGCTTAACTTATAGAGCACAGGGGTATGCGTCGCCATACCCTTTTGGGTAGGGCTTACTGTATCCCATTCTTCGGGCGTCAGGTCTCCACCACAACATATAAGCTGCATGATCGTTTCGGGTTGCCGTCTCGACACGGCTTTCCATTGTTGATACATCTTTCATTCCTCGATATGAGTCGTAACTTTACCAATCATGTTATAGCGTGGAATAAACATGCTTGATTCTTATATATTCCGAACCATGGTGAGAGGAGGTCCATTGCTGTCGAAAGAGTAATCCAATTACTATTCCTATCTCTACAGCCATTGTACCTTTGCACTTATTCCAGCCTCGTTTCAAGAGCCAAATCTTGTCAAATCTTGTCTCTCACTTGAACAATCGGGTGTGATCATTTTCGTTTATCACGTGTTCAGAATTCCGTGACCAGATAATGGAGAAATCCCTCTTTGCTCCAAAGCTTCATGGGCCCGAATATAAGAGGATACTCACCACAGATTCTTCTAGCGAGGATGGAACTGAGATGAGTGAGCCTCCCTCGTGGTTTCGAGAAATCAATGATGATATCCGATCTCGAATCTCGAGGAGATTTTTGATTTCAGTTACATTGTTATCCATAGTGCTGTTATTCGTGTCGTCCATAACGATAACTGGACTAGTCATCTCCTCTCGAAAACCTCATAAATTACCGGTCGCTCCTGAAGGGACAGCTTGTGGAGGCAATCCGACTGCCGCAAGATTGAATGGGTGTGTTTTCGACCCCATGATGAGCGCGTGGATACCTCGAGATTGTGTTTTTGATGAGTTGGTGGAACACGCCGGCGACATCTTTACAACGTGGGATTGGTATTCCGATGTCGACCTCACACAGCCGATCAACGGAAAGGACGAGTTGGATTTCTTGCGAGCTGGAAATTATACTAGGGTGTGGACTTCACATCAGAACGCTCACGAGCTTCACTGCGTATATATATGGAGAAAGATGGGTATGGCTTTGAGAAATGATCCTCCATTGGTGGATGCGAGCAATGCTTATCGCCACGTAACTCACTGCTCCGCCAGCCTGGAGTTAATATTGCAAGCAAAGACTGTCCCTGAGGAACCAGAGGCTTTTGAATGGCCTATGATGTATCATACATGTTCCTTACTTAAATACGACGTATGATGAATTGGTAGCATGTTGCTGTCACAAGTTGTAAAAGGATTCTACGTAAGCGCGTTAGGTAGTGTGCTGAATATGACTGATATTTTTCCACCAATTATTTTCGGTGTCGCGAAGATATATGTACCGCTTCAACACCACGTGATTCAAAGAGTAAAACATTGTACCCACCGAGTTTAATAGATTAGTTCAGATATCAATACTTGAATTGAAATGAGGTCATTTCAGGTTATTACCGAATTTTATACTTCTGATGGCAAATGAATAGTCAATAACTGCATAAAACGTTATTTCTCTAGCTCAATAAATTGCACCAAGTGTCATGTATGAATGAATGGTTGATGTGCAACTTGTAGATCTCTAGAACTCTTTCAAAGCCAAGCCAGCTTAAACTTATCAAGTCTCTGGCCAAGGGCAATTGATACTAGCATGATTTAAGGAAATTCCCGCCTATTTTCATGACCAAAAAAAGTCGATCGATGTCAAATGTAAGCTTGGAAATGTGGTGTTCGATATTCTCCTCTCGATGTCGTAATCTCGACCCAAGACCTTCAGGCCAGCTAATCAAATTAGAGTTTCTCCACATCTGCAGCCAATATCTCTGCTTCGCCGTTCAGGGATAGCTCCAAGTCGGTTTGTTCCATCTCATACTTCTCTTGTTCGGCAATAAACTCCTCTACTCAATTTATGATATGTAGCTCTGATTCGGCTTGTTCCATTTCCTGTTTAGCTCTCAATCTAGCTTCTTCGTCTTTGAGATACTCTTCATGCCATATTGGGATCTGATCGTCATAGAAGATCCATCCCTTTGGTTCTTGCACATGCCTCTTGATGGTACGTGAGTAATGTTCTATCTTGTAGCCACTAGGACCGCGTGTTTGAAGAGGAATCGGCCGTTCATTCTCGGGAAATTTTAAGAGTTGAGTGTGAGTCAAGTCATCCAGCTTCTGTTTTACCAACGCCCAGAAGGAGAAATGATCGTAAAACTTCGTCGTTGTTGTATATTCGTAACGAAGGATGCAGCTGCGAACAATATTCATATCCACGAAATACTGCTTGTTGGGTGGACCAATTTGTGCGACTTTGAAGTAAGAACTTTGTAAAAGATATGAAGGTTGGCCACCATTTACATCGTTGGTATCAAGTTTGATGGTCCATGTATACGAATCGTCAATTTTTCTGCGGCTGGCCAAGTTTAGGGAGTGTAAATTCTTTGAATCGCCAATGGCTGCCGCTTTCTCCCATTCCCATCCTCTTCGTCTGTATTTTGCTTCAGAATCTTCGTGATCGGCGTTAACTTGGAGATAGCCATTGCCGCCTCCATTTATTTCGTAAGCTGTTCTCTTGATGAAATTCATATCAGGGAAAAGTGAATACGCGAAATTCCACGAGATGACGTTCATGAGAAGTGATGTATGAAAGCCCTGGATGATTGCTTGGAAAGGAATGTTGGTTGTGTAGATTATTTGGATCTGAATTGGCTTCTCCTTGGTCGAGCTTGTCCTAAGGTATGATTCAACCTGAATCCATGTAAGTATATATAATGAATGATTTGGGATATGAAATACCTGTGAAATATACTTTAATTGGCCCACATTGTTGATCAAGCCACCATTTGCTTCCGTTTTCGACCCTTGTAGTCTGTAGCTTTCATGCTTGACCAAGTATTTGCCTATTTTCTCAGGAGTCCTGAAGTTGTTCGCATCTTGTACATAAATATCCAGGCCAGAGTCAAGCCAGAATCTCCTCTCAAAGAATTGTAGAGCGAAGCTTCCAGATATGAGAGCATCGTGTTTAGCCAACTTTGACCGAAAGCCGACAGGGTCTTTAACAAAGCGGGTGAGTTGGCGATTGATATTCCACTGGGTCTTGAAGAGCGAGTTAAACGACGAGGAAAGTTGCTTGGTGGTCAATCGGAAAAACAAGATGTCATTGGGATCGAGATGGGCACAAATGTTATCGAAAATGGGGTAGCATAGGAAGATATCTTTCCAGTCCAAATGTCGATTCGATCCGGACATTTTGTACGAAGTACGATACCACGAGGCTTCTCAGATTTGGTACTTCTATTGCGATGTCTCAAATGAAAGTGGTGATTTCTGAATGTGTTTGTAGAGGAGTATTTATGGCTTGATGACGGGAGGCTTATCCTTATCAACCACCTGGTGAACCAATAAATACCCAAGACAGATTATAGGCTGCAACCAACATTTGGGCCCCGGAAGATGAAATACGCGTGATAGATCGATGGAAACCGCGGGAACCGAAACCGTAGAAATTCAGTACGTACCAGAGATGATGGCACGAAGAACATGCCCTAGGAACAGCACAATATATATGCTGGTGATTATGAACTTTGGGTCGAATTGATTCCACCATCAGGAGTATTAATATCCCGTTCCGGCATCTAGCCTTATTGTAAGATCTTACATCTTGTACATCAATTTCTGTTGTATCTAAGGTCACATATGTTCTGGCATTGCTAGAAAAGACGTGAAGAAAGGACTGGTAACTTAAGAATAAGTGTCGTGCGTATGTTATTAAAAGCTATGGAGTTGACCTGGTGGACCAATCGTTTTGATTACCTAATACGCCTAATGCTCTTAGCACGCTTTCTGATACCTTAGGGGACAATATTTGTTGTCCTGTCCACATATCTTGTACAACTTGTGGTCTCATTATATTCATCTGATTCAACTATCTTCTATTGGAAAAATTTCTTAAGGCTTAATGAGTCTAGCCCAAGAAAATATCAAATCTTATCTCTCTGCTATCGTCTTTGATATAATTGAGTCCCAGAATCGCGGCATGACAAAAAGACCGTGCAAATGTTTCGTCTTCTGGAAATTCGTAACATTTGTTACATTCACCAAGCATTTTAAATGGTCGAGCTGGCCTGTTTCAATTTATTTCTTCTATAGATAGATTGTTTTGTAATTTTGTAACCCTTTTTTCATATGCAAAACCTAAATCATCGAATGGAAGAATACTATTTTTGGCGGTAACGCCAATGGAATGGCTAATGCTATTCACATTACAACCAAATCCTTGTTAATTTTCCCGTCTTGACATAGACTCCCGCAAGCTGCTCCTCATCTAGATTAACATCTTGAAAATGGAAACCAGGGGGGCGGGTGTATTTTTGTGGCTTTTACTGGTCGAACTTAAAATCTAGAGAATGAGCACATTGATATTAGACACAGGGACCCGAGACTCAAGATTCTCAAGGGCTGGTTCTCTTCGTAATTTGTATTGCTATCATTTGTGAATCCATACACACATGAGTTCAAACTCTCAATGTTAATTCGACAGATTATAGCATTGGCGACAGCCTTGCTGGTACAGGCACCGGTAGCTTTATCAGATGATGGTGTTGGTCGTCATCTTGTGCAAGATGGAATTAAGGTCCTGAATCAAGAACAGGTACAGAAGTCACAAGGACAAGTGCAACAAGCACAGGGTCAGCAATGCCAGAACCAGAATCAACAAATGCAAGGCGAGCAATCGCAGTGTCAATCTTCAACTCAGAATCACCAAAGCCAACCAACAGGGGCCCAAGGACGAAGAGGACTGCAGCCTCAAGCTCAACAATCTCAAGCTTCGCAAAACCAAAGACTCCAACCTCAGTCAACTAATACGGGGGGGTCTGGACAATGCTTCTCATCAAATGGATCTTGTGACCCCAACGGAATACCTTGTTTTAGCAACGATAGCACAAGTCGATGTTGTGGATCTGACGAGTTTTGCTCTACTAATAAATTGTGTGTTTCAAAGAACGATCCAAATAGATTCTCCCGGGGATCTTGTACAGATCCCACTTTCAGAGCAGCATCTTGCCCGAAAATTTGTCAGAGTAGTAGGTTTCCGACACTTAGCATATGACGACAGTAAGAGAGGTCTGATTGCTAACATGTAATGCAGTCGGCGATACTGGGGCAGTATTACCATGTGGTGATCCTTCACTAGGACAATTTTGTTGCGACGAAGGTCGAGGTTTTGAATGCTGTTCGACGCCAAGGAAAGTCTTCACACTAGGCAGAGGAACAACTTTTACGGAGAACTCTTCCAATTCAGCCGCCACCGCCATCTCAAATACAGATCTCCAGCCACAAAGATCATCTCAATCCGTAACTACACGTACTCAGACTGAGACTGCGACCCAAATTCAGACTCAGATATCTTCCACAACGCAGACAGTCGTCAAGACTTCCGTTTCCGTTTCCGTTTCTGTACAAGTTGTCACACCTAATCAATCTCCTACTTCCGCGATATCATTCTCACCAGCAGCTTCGGTAACATCTTCGACGTCAATCGTTCTTGTTACACAAACAACAACACAAAACCAACCATCTAATTCTCTCCAAGCATCGCGGAGCGGAAGTATGTATCAAAATCAAAACAGTCAACCTTTATCATCCTCTACCATATGGGAGGCCAATACTCGAACTTCTGCTTCTCCAAGTTCCAATGGAGACCAAGGTCAGAATGGAGGAATAAGTTCAACTTCGAGTGCGAATTCTCAAGCCTCAAATAAGACCCAGACCCAAAACCAAACCGATAACCAGGATATTCAATCCACTGTGTCAAACTTTCTGAAATCCCCCAATAATATGACCGCAATTATTGCTGGATCCAGTGCCTTGGCTGCCATCGTGATGTTGGGAATAGTGATAGTTTGTTTCAGAAAACGAAGACGGGGTAAGAATTCGGGTGTTCAGTTGCAAGATGGGAAAAGACGAGGATCTACATCTGAGAGGGGTGCTAGCGAGAAAATGGGAAACAGAGATGGGGTTGGAAGTGGAGATGCAAGTATAGGGGTATTTGTAACAGTGTCTGAGAAACTTAGAGGGTTTAAGGAGAAGACACATACTGCGCATTTGAAAGAAGACGATAGGGTCTCGAGGGAATTTGATGGAGCGCTTGGAGGCGGAATGTACCTGGAAGGTGGTACGATGGGAAGAGGACGACCGTATGGAGATTTGGGAAGGAGCTCTGCTGATAGTGAATACGCGAATATTAGGGATATGAGTACGAACTCAAATATCCCCCATCCATCCCTTCGAGCTTCAGCAACCCCAGAACACCTCCTCAGCCGCCTTCACTACCGCCGTTCCTTCCATCCCAATCTCGAGATTCGGAATATAGAACCTCGAGAGGATCTTTCACTTCAGCAACTACGGGATCTCATTATAGTCGTGCGACAAATGGAGACCCATTACGAATACCGTTGCAATTAGATATGCCCGTGCCATATCGCCCAGTTGGAAGTGAGAATAATGGAGCGTATGGGCTTCTTTCGAGAGAGGAAGAACAAGGTTCTGGACTCGGGCGGGAGCGAGTGAATGAACAGAGGCAGGAAGAACCTAGAGGTTTCTTCTAGGCTTTCATCGGAAAGAAGATTTGAGAGATGTATCCCACTATCTCTTAAATGGGGCCCAGGAACGAGAGTATATAATCATAATTTCAAAAGTAAACTCAGAATCTAAAGTCGAAACTTGGACGTCGAATTGCCGTATTGTCGTGATCTTATTTTATTTATTATTTCCAACTTTAGAATCGAAAAGAACCAAATTGTGACAGGTCAAAATGGTAAGGTGCGTAACCCGTATTTGCTGCAGTTCCTCTTGACTAAACCCTCACGGAATGATACAGAGCCTTGGGCGTAGGTAAACATTTACTGTGTCAGCAAAGCCATTGTTGTCCGTAGAAAAGAGAGTCCGACGTGTTGAACGCGAAGGATTTGTAAAGCGAGAACCACGGGCGGTATGACTCTTTCTTCATGAATCTGCAAAATATATACATATTCGAGCATTAAAAATAGTTGCTCAGGTAGAAAGACTATAATATTATACGATTCTTGGTATCAATTGGCCACTGGACGTTGGGGAGAGGATGCCTGGCGAAAGGTTGAGCTTGGTAAGCGATGTTGGTTTGTTGGTTTGAAGACCAGTCATTCTGGTGATCCGATTGATTTCTAGAAACAACCTGTGTTAGAGTCATGTTAGCTAATCAACTCTGAGCCAGTATCCATCTAGTCAACGGCTAGATCCAATTTGATTATTGAGACAAACCTTGACATGAGCACTGTGCGCGATGTGAAATGGGTGTATAGACTTTCATAGCCGTTATATTTTTATACTCCTCATTATGACCTATCCTCAGCTTGGACTGTGCGAAGACTCTAAGGGTGGTAATCAAAGGCCTGAGTGGTGTAAGTGAAAAAGTTTCCGCGGAGGCTGTGGTTGCGAAGTCTCTTCGGCCATGGTGGTCCATTCGTTTGTGAGCTTTGAAGTCAACGATTGAGGTGAGCTGGAAGGTGAAGGAACATATCGAAAATCTACTAATTTCCCCGTGGCACTATGTCCTTCTTAGTCTGGATATTGAAATGATTTGAAATTGCCAGTTCGAACGTGGGATATTTGTATATAAGGGAGGCATTGGACGCGTTTTCTTGCATAGCAGTGTGATTGAGATGCATTAAAAAGCACGTCTTCATATATCTTGAACAATGAGGGAATGATACACGATTGTTAGAGTCTCGATCAATGTAGAGAACATTTTGATAACGCTGTATCGCAAATGAATAGACATCTCTCTAAGACATATAATGGCAGATAAAGCAACGCTATTTGTAGGAAATGCTGAATCGTAATTATCCAAGAAGTTCGGTTATAGACAACCTAGCAAAGGATTATGCGGAGGTTTGAGAGCCACATAGATCCGAAGTCAGATAGTTCTCAGGTATATTCCCCCCTCCTGCTCCCCAAAGTGCCTTGGCTCATTTCGGAGCATCGCTCAAAATACGAATTGTAGTGCTGTAGCTCAGGTCGCAAAGTAATCGATATCACAGAGTACGTCACTGCGTTTTCTCCAATCCTACATATGAGCGATGATGAAGATTAACTGCAAGTTAAAGTAAATAGGATGGAACAAACTGGAGGGAGGCTATGCTATCAGAACCAAATTCAAAATTCGTCCGAAAGGATTTGAGGAGGAGTTTGCCGATCATTCCTCATTCGGTCCCTCACTATCTGGGGTCTCTTGACCTATCAATTTAGGCAACGAAAGTAATGGCTGCAGTGTACCAATTTACGTGTGTAAAGGCCGTGAAGGCACTCGGTCTGGAGTTTTACGGCCAGATTGGCGTAACACTGTAGTACCTTCCTCGTTACTTGTGGAACTCGGAAGTATGGAACCGAAAACTGCAATCTAAAGCCTATCCATAAGAAGTTGAGATTGATGAGTAATTGAGGACAGCCTCATACAAGATTGTGTTGAGCCCGAAATTTTCGGCTGACAGTGAGTCGGAAAGCATGGTACTAACCATGGGAGGTTTAGACAATCAGGGATACGGCACACTTCTCCGGTTGGTTGTATCCCGTTGGATAAGAATTCCCATTCGGTTAGCCAGGCCGAGTATGCAACGCGCACCAGTGAGGTAGGAATCAAGGCCCCGATCCCCCTATTTTTTTTTACATTTTTCGGAATAAAAAATAGACAAATATATAAACGTATGGCCCCGTTTTCCATCATAAAAACAATATCATCCGAGAAGAAGTGCAATAACAAAATAGCCCGCTTAAGAATCAAGTAATCGCTTTTATAAAAGGCTTGTATCCCTGAAACTTTTGGGTTGAAAACCAGCTTTGGCTTGGGCGCGCCACCCTTTGTTTTTCCCAATTTCCTGACTTTCACAGCGCGAAAATAGTTGAAGAATGGCAAGTGATTTCCCAAAAGTCAGCACAATCGCCGAGGGCTCGGTTGAGATCAATTTAATTCACACTATATGAGTGTGAATAGCGAAAGATGGCAATTTCTGGGCTCATGAGAATCCCATGATTGACCCAGCCTCGTATTGTGTGTGGGAACGGAAAACAATAACCCTATTCCGACTGCTAGCAACTCAACTCAACCTGGCACCCAAAATGAAAGGTAGATGTAACTAGAACCAACCTGGTTAGAGGCTGGAAAGGCTAAGGTAGGGCTGCAGTATTCTTACGGGACTAAGCACAAGGTCAAGGTCAAGGATTGGTCGATGAGATCTATGCTGCAAGATCTCGGGAGTCGAGTACACATACTAATAAGTAGGTCAATGCGGAGGTCGTATGTATGAAGCGAACCAGCGAAAGTGCCCCAGAGAGGCTGAGCACGTGAAAATGGACTCCAGTCAAGAGCAACCTTATTCGTGGCAAGGAATCGTCGCAACAGAACGAAGTTTCCACTCGGAGTTGCAGAGTTGCAAGAGACATCTCAACAATTTGTGTCTTGTCCGAGGTCTTCATATTTCGGAACCAAACACATCGACAACAGACGGGACTATCACCTGACCCAATCCGGAGCTCCGATTCGCTATCATGTTCCTCAAAATATCTGTCATATATCACAAACAGCAATCAAATTTCGCTGCTGTTTAATCTGCGTTATCAAACAATTGATGCTACTCAAATGAGTATATATACAACCTGAAGGAACAGCACGAATGATTCCATCAACAATTGGTATCTTGCATCTCGGCACTCGCACCTCGTGACTGTTTTTGCACCTTACACGTGATCGATCACTGGACACGAAAGATTGAGATCATCTCAGTGAATCGGAACCCAACGCCAGCACACCAATATCGGTATCCCGATATCTGCGATTTTTCGCACCCGCTTGAGTGGGCATCTGTTTGGATGACTACATACTTGGGTATGTGCGTAGAAGTCACGTCCACAAATCCGCAATACCCGACGATTCAACACCTCCTCAATCAACCAAAATGGAAATATGCGTCTGGAGACTGAAATCTCTTTATTAGTGGTGCGGGATACTCAACTCCATCATATCTCTCGCGCGTCAGCTAATCTTCTGCATGTAGAGAAGTCTTACCTGGTCATTTCTTATCAAGTTGAAAAGTCAAATATCGTCTTGACCGGTACCTCCAACAACCTAATCGAGCTCATGTCTTATTTCCGAAGTGGAGTCTTCCTTGTAACTTTCAACATTGGACTGAACAGATGCATTGGTCATGATCCGCTCGAGATTGAAGCGAGTCCGAACTTTCCACTCCGCAGGGAGTTCAAGGTATAGGTATCCGGATATTGCAGAAACGTGTTAATCCGGTTACCCGACGGCAATTTGTACATCAAAAAGCTTGTCAACCACCACGACGTAGTAAGTTCTCGATTAATTGGTGGAAAGCAGAACTCATGAGAAAGTGCATCACGCTCCACATAGATAAGAATTCTTCGTTATCTTAAGTTTCACGTGGATATCGTTTGGCTAAGAATTACTCGCTTCTGCTTCAAAAAACCCTTTCCTTCTTGTAGGAAGGTACCTTATCAGCACTTCGGGATGGCGGCTTGCCGATGCTCGGTATCCACAGCTCATGAACAAGGTGTTATATATTCATCCCCGAGGGCCAGGATTTCAATGACCGAAAGTTGCCTGCCATGTTAATATATAGTGTTGTACTCCTACATAAAAACCTTGACACTTGTCTCCGGACCATGCAAGCTAGGGATGGGAATAAACCCAGAAATACCCCGAAGGATCAGTCCTTGCATTTTCCTCTCGAGAATTGCGTTGATGGCATTCTACCTCTCCGAATGCTGTCTTCGATCTATAGCCCAAACTGCTATCAGCCCAAGGGTCTTGGCATTCTATTGACTCTCTCATTCGTTCAGATCTTGCGCTACAGTTACTGTTCGTTAATCAGAATACGGAATGATTTTTGTTTACCACGGCCTTTATCCAAAAGTACGAAGTAGAGGTATTTTCAGATAAACGACTTGTTTAGTTGACAGGATAGGTTTTGACCGCCATGTTCCAAGAATCCGAATCTATTATTTATTACATTGTTCGTCTGGGCGATAATCCATTCACACAAGGGGCTACAATCCCATCAGAACTGAGTCTTGGAAAACAATTGTCGAAATTTGTTATCGTGGGTGGTTACCAGTACCACACGCCCATACGGATGAGGTCGGACGAATATGAGAGACTACCCCAAATTATCCAATCAAATTGATGGATTTCATCAAGTCCAGTCACAGGAATAAAGATGGCCCCATCACATGGTAGCATGCCTCAGGGTGTATTTAAGGCTCTCACGTCAGCGGACTCGGTACCATTCCCTTGTGCATTCAGCCTCGGGGATACAACTTATTTAGTTAGGATACATTCCAAGCATTGCTTACTTCAACAATATGTCATGTATCGGATGTGAACATCTGCTTGCAGCCAGTTTGTAACCATTCAAGCAAGGTTGATTGGATAAAATTTACGCCAAACCATTGAAATTTTTTTTTCTTTTCCGCCGACTGCACGTGGTAGGTACCTCACCCTCGTATCCCTCAACAGCAGCAATGCTGCGGCTGTTAATTGTGAGAGGTCTGT